TGTTGTTGTTCTGTACAGCAAATACAAAAGGTGGTGGGGGAGGGTAATACACAGCCTAGCGACCTAGCCATAACCATCCTATCCTCTACTGCTGCTTGCCCTTGGCGGCAGCGTTCCGCTTAATGAGACCCGAGAGAAGGGAGTGGCCGGAGAGGTAGGCGAGCAGGCCAATGCCCGCCAGGTACTTCACCGTCTGGAACATGTTCAGCTTCACGAAGAAGCAGCCGTAGAGGAGAAAGATGAGCGCCAGACTGGTGTGAAAGAGAATCGCCGAGAGGGACAGCTGAAAGGAGGAAAAGTTGATGCCGATCTTGGCCCACTGTGGTGCACAGTGAAGGAGTTTGGGGGAAAATGGAAATGGATGGGGAAAAGAGAGAAAACACAGAAAAACCAGAAGTCAGTATAGATCATCGTCAACAACAAAAAAGCAACTAAAACTCTGCAGTTCTAAATGCGAGCACTCAGACACAAACGCAAAGCACTCACGGCAAAAGAAGAAGAAAAAGAAGGCGAACTTACCATGACAAAGAGGGCGAAGAAGGGCAGCATGACGAGACCGGTGAAGAAGTTGGACACCAGCGGGTGCGGGCGCTTCTCCTGCTCGCGGAAGATGTGCTTGATCTCGGGCTTGGCGACGTACTCCGAGGCGGCGGAGGAGGCCTCCTTCTGGGCGACGCCATTGTTGAAGGTGATGGCCACGGTGGCCAGCTTCCAGTTGACCGAGTTGGCGACCAGCGCGTCGCCGATGATCAGACTGACGGCGTACTGTCCGGAGAGGTAGTTGAAGTCCTTGGAGCGGACGCCCAGCGCCAGGTCCACCTTGTAGCTGGCGCCGGTGGAGTCCTGCTCGGCGATGAAGACGATCTCCTGGCGGGTGGAGGTGGCGGCGAAGCGGACAAAGGCCTGGTGGACGGTGAGCGGCTCGCCGGTGGCGCGGTCCTTCAGCTGAAAGCGCAGCTGAATGCGCTGCGAGTTGTCCACCTCGAGTGTGCCGGTGTGAGTTGAGGGGTAGTTCAGCCTGTTAAATAGAAACGAGAGAAAAAAAGTAGAACATTTAGTTGGCAACACTTTTAGGACTTTTAGAGCACTGCTTACTTGGTCGTCTTGCTGCCGACGTCCACGTCGGAGATGATAAGCTCGGCATTGACAATGTCCACACTGGTGAGGATGTTCACCTTGAGCTCCGTCTGGAAGGGCGAGCCGCCGCTCTTCTGTGCGCTCACCACCAAGGTGTAGTAGCCGGCGGGCAGCGGCTTGGCGAAGAAGTCGTAGGCAAAGAGAGCGCTGAAGGGGGAGAGAAATATGGAGAAGTAGAGACAGGGCCGATTTTGAACCAAAACTCAACTCCACACTTACCTGTCACCGGTGACCGCCTTGAAGGCGACATTCTCCAGGGTCGGACTCTTCTCGCCCTTTCGCGTCAGTGAGACGCCCTTGACGGTGACAGCGCCGGTTACAGCCTTTCCCACTTCGTCGGTCACCCTCACTGTAAGTAC